GCTAGTAACTGCAGCGCCTGTTCTGTTGCAGGAGATGGACTGCATCGTGAACCAGATGATCCAGGTCGCTGACTACCTCGGCTGGGACGTCACCGAACTGAGACCGGTTAGTGGGCCTTACGTACACGTACATACAGGCATAATTACATACATGCATACATACATGCGTGCGTACATACATGGATAATGTATACATACATATGCATACATATATACAAACTTCATGCATACAGACATAGATACACGCATACATACATACGAACATGCATTCATACAGACATAGATACATGCATACATACATGCAGATATGCATACATACACATACATACATACATACATGCATACATACATACATATATGCATACATACATTCATACATAGATATACATACATACATACATACATACATGCATGCATTTATATATATATATATATATATATATATATATATATATATATATATATATATATATAATATAATATATATATAATATATATATATTATGTGTGTGTGTGTGTGTGTGTGTGTGTGTGTGTGTGTGTGTGTTGTGTGTGTGTGTGTGTGTGTGTGTGTGTGTGTGTGTGTGTGTGTGTGTGTGTGTGGTGTGTGTGTGTGTGTGTGTGTGTGTGTGTGTGTGTGTGTGTGTGTGTGTGTGTGTGTGTACATGCGCACAAGCAAATATACATATATACATACATAAAAATGTTTCTACGTGTTATTTTCTGTATGAACTCAATTATATCTAACATATATTTGAACATATATATTGCACATTCTGTAAAGATAGACTAATCTATTTTCTTTTTTTTTCCTTCTATCGACTTCCATTCCCTCCCTAATGCACTTTCTTTCCCTTCTCTTTTTGCTTTGTTCATCACCTACCATTTCCCTTTCCATTTTCATCCTATTTTCTTTTCCTATCTTCGAAATTCGATTCTACCTTTATATAATTTCTTTCTTTTTCCAAATTATCCTTATCTATCTCCTTTTTTACCCTCTTTTTTCTTTCCTATTTTCTCGCCTTTCCCTTTCCATCTCTTCTTCATCTACTTTATCTCTCCCTCATATACCTTTCTTTCCTCCTTGTTTCTCTTCTTTACCTCCCAATTCTTTCCCTCTCCCGCCTCTCTCTCCTCTTTCACCCTCTCCATTTCTCCTTTCCACCCTTTCCATCCTTCCTTCCATCTTCCTCTTCTTCCATCCTTCGATCTTTCTCCTCTTCCACTATTTCATCCTTTCTTCCTTCTCCCCTTCCACTCTTCCCATCCTTTTCCACCTTACTCTTCTTTCCCTTTTTCCGTCCTTCATTTTTTCTCCTCTTCCACCCTCTCCATCTTCCGTCTTTCTCCTCCTCGACCCTTTCCATTTTTCGTTCTATTTTTTCTTCCATCCTTTCTTTCTCCTCTTCCACCCTTTCCACCACTCCTTCCACCTTTCTCTTCTTCTATCCTTCGTTTTTTCTCCTCTTCCACCATTTTATCCTTCCTTCCCCCCTTCTCCTCCTCCACCTTTTCCATCCTTCATTCTATTTTTTCTTCCATCCTTCCTTTCTCCTCCACCTTTTCCATCCTTCCTTCCTTCCCCTCTTACACCCTTTCCACCCCTTCATTCTATTTTTTCTTCCATCCTTCCCTCCTTCTTCTCTTGCACCCTTTCCACCCTTCCTTCCCTCTCCTCCTCCACCCTTTCCTTCTTTCTATTTTTTCTTCCATCCTTCCCTCCTTCTCTTCTTGCACCCTTTCCACCCCTCATTCTATTTTTTCTTCCATTCTGCACTCCTCCTCTTGCACCCTTTCGACCCGTTCATTATATTTTTTTCTTCCCTCCTTCTCTCTCTTCTTGCACCCTTTCCACCCTTCATTCTATTTTTCTTCCATCCTTCCTTCCTTCTCTTTTTGCACCCTTTAAACCCTTCATTCTATTTTTTTCTTCCATCCTTCCCTCCTTCTCCTTTTGTACCCTTTTCGCCCTTCATTCTATTTTTTTTTTCTTTCATCCCTCCTTCGTTCCTTATCCACTTGCACCCTTTCCACCCTTCATTCTATTTTTTCTTCCATCCTTCCCTCCGTCTTCTCTTGCACCCTTTCCAACCCTTCATTCTATTTTTATTTTCTTCCCTCCTTCCCTCCTTCTCTTCTTGCACCCTTTCCACACCTTCATTCTATTTTTTTCTTCCATCCTTCCCTCCGTCTTCTCTTGCACCCTTTCCACCTCTTCATTCTATTTTTATTTTCTTCCCTCCTTCCCTCCTTCTCTTCTTGCACCCTTTCCACCCTTCCTTCCACCTTCTCGCCCTCCCTCCACAGATCTTGACCGACATGATGGCGGAGATCGACTATGATAACGACGGAACGGTTTCTCTGGAGGAGTGGAAGCGAGGAGGGATGACCACTATCCCTCTGCTTGTGCTGCTCGGCCTCGATACGGTGAGGGAGGGATAGAGGGATGGGGAGGGAAAGAGGGATGGGGAGGAATAGAGGGATAGGAGGAAGGATGAGGGGGGAGAAAGAGGGTTGGATTGGGGGGAAGGGAAGGGGGTGGGATGGGAGGAGTGGGTGGAGAGATTAGGAGAGGAGAGTGCAAGTTAGGGAGGGAGACAGTGGATAAGGAGTAGGAGAGGAAAGAGAAAGAGAGAGAGAGAGGAGCGAGGGTGGGAGAAAGAGGGTGGGATGGTGTGGGGAAGGAGGGAGGGATGAGGAAGAGGAGAGGAATAGGGTGGGATGGGGAGGAGTGGGTGGGAGATATTAAGAGAGGGAGAGTGCACGTTAAGGAGGGGAGACAGTGGGATAAGGAGTAGGAGAGGAATGAGAAAGAGAGAGAGAGAGAGAGAGAGAGAGAGAGAAGCGAAAAAAGAGAGGAAGGAAAAATAATGACTGCAATCCAAACTTCTGAAAAGAAAAAATATCTAACATAGAAGTACAAATCAACCCCTTTAGTATCGCCAATTTAATTAAATCCGTTTTCTCTTAATGCTAGAACATGAAAGAAGACGGGAACCATGTGTGGAGGCTCAAACACTTCAGCAAACCTGCGTATTGCAACCTCTGCCTCAACATGCTCATGGGCCTTGGCAAGAAGGGGCTCTCTTGCGTATGTGCGTATAAATGCATACTTCTGCGTTCTCGTTTTAGCATTATTCATATGACTTTTATTTCATTTTCATTTTTTCTGAATGTGCATATCATAGACCGATCCAAAATAACATTTAAAAAGAGTATAATCTCATGAAATAAACAAAACAACTATAACAGAAATGTCCTAGATGATTAATAATTATAAAGGTAATAGAATGATAATATCAACATCAACAATAATGACAACCATAAACCTAACGTCACCATTACAGCTTCATCAAAAAAGCAACCAACAACGATAAATAGCAACAACAGCTTTAAATCCTACATATAAATCGAACTGACCTTCCCCTCCAACTCCTCAGTCTGCAAGTATACAGTCCACGAGCGATGCGTTCAGAGAGCGCCGGCATCCTGCATAGCGACGTACGTGAAGAGCAAGAGGACGTCGCAGTCGATGCTCCACCATTGGGTCGAAGGCAACTGTCCGGGGAAGTGCTCGAGGTGCAAGAAGACCATTAAAAGTTATAACGGAATCACGGGTCTGCACTGCCGCTGGTGTCATTTGCGGGTAAGTTGGCGTCCATGGTTCGTCTTCCTATCTTGATATTTCAGTGGTTCGTTTTCTTATCCATCCTTCTCCCTTTCGCATTATTTCCGCGTTTCTTTACCATTTCAGTGTTTCCTTTTCGTGTCCAATTGTTGTTTACTCTCCGTACAATTCTAATGTTGATCTTTCTCCTCAGTCCTCGTAATTTCGAACTAACGCCTCTTCTTCAACCTTCCTCTTCCTTCCTTTCTGCCACAGAGGTTATCATTTCGTCGTCTTCCTCCGTCTATTTCCTCTCCGCCTTTCTCCCTTTCCTTCGTTCTTGCCACAGAGGTTTAATTCCCTTTTTCTCTTCCTTCCATACGCCCACACGAAGGCATTCCTTTCTTCCTCCCGTGCAGAAGTTTTAATTGCCTCTTTATCTTTCCTTTCTGCCTCAGAGGTTATGATTTCTTCCTCTTCCTCCTTCTATTTCCTCTCCGCCTTTCTTCCGTTCCTTCTTTCTTGCCACAGAAGCCCTTATTTCTTCTTCTTCCCTCCGACCTTCCACACAAAAGTTCTAATTCCCTCTCTGTCCTTCCTTCATGCTACAGATTTCTTCTTCTTCCATCTACTTCCTCTCTACCTTTCTTCCCCTCCTTCCTTCTTGCCCCAGAGGTCCTAATTTCTTCTCCCTCTTCCCTCCCTCCTCTCCCGCAGCTGCACAACAGATGCGCGTCGCAGGTGAAGCCCGACTGTACCTTCGGCGAGCACCGGGTCCACGTGCTCCCCCCGACGTCGATCTGCCCCATCGTGCTCGACCGACAGAGGTCCATCTCGAAGGAGAAGAAGGGGATTCCCCGGTCTGACTCGACGCCGGCGGGGCTTAGCGAAGGGACGGTGAGTCGGGGGGAAGGTCGGATGGTCGGGGTATGGGGTGGGGGATGGGGGTTCATTGTGGTGGTTGTGGGTGTTGTGTTTAGGGGTTGTGGTGTTTTGGGTTAGGTATTGTGGTTGTGGCTGTGTTTGGGGGTTGTGTCTTTACGTCTGAGATTGTGTTTTTGTTGTGTGTAGGACTTATGGTTGTGACTGTGTTTGTCTTGTTTGGAATTGTGTTGTTTGGGAATGTGTCTGTGATCCCCATATATTTTTTTAAAATGCACACTGAATATCTTTTGGAGCCCCTGTGTGATGATACTTAAAAGTATTATATGATCATATAAGGTCAATTAGCAATCTATCGTTAAAAAGATGCTGATCCTAACCCCAAAATTCGTTTTCATCGTTAATTCTACAACCATGTTTTTAGAAAGGTTGAAAGTCACTAAGTCACATCATCACCAGCTATGCCAAAATAATAATAAAGTAGATGGATAGAATTAAATGAATTAATTAACAACCACACTAAGACTGGACCAACCATAGGTCTTATATCATTATCCCTTATATTATGTCACTTTATACTACTAATTTTATACTACCCAGCTTTTATATGACCAAGCTTTATACAACCAAACCCTATATTATTTCACAAAGTCTTACACGACCAGTCTTATGCAACCAAACTAAAACTTGTATTACGAACCTTACAGCCAAATCGTATACAAACAAACTTATACTTCATGACTAGCTTTATGATACCAATCCTTGTACTCCCAAAAGTTATATCTTATCACCAAGCCTTACGCTACCAAATATTTATACCTTGTAACCATTCCTAATACTACCAACCTTATGCTGTCAAACATTCATGCTTTATGAACAAAGCCTTACACTACCATGTACCTTATGGTTAATGCCCATACCAACATCCTTATCAAAATATATATCTTGACACCAAACCTTACACTACCAAACTTATTCGTCATGATACCAAACCTTGTCCGACTAACATTAGACCACAAAACATCCCGCATAACCAAACCTCATACTACCAACCTTATTCTGCCAAACCTTATAGAACCAACTTTACAGTACCAACCTCATACTACTAAACTCTCATACCTCATTCAACCAAACCTTACACAACCGAAACACATACCTCATGACCAAAAACTCATACTGCCAAACCTCACACTTCGCCTCTCCTCCGCAGGTCTCCACTCCGATGTCCTTCCAGATCACCCCCCTCCCCGGGACGCACCCCCTCGCCGTCTTCGTGAATCCCAAGAGCGGAGGGAGACAAGGGGCAAGGATACTGAGGAAGTTCCAGGTACAAGGGAGGAAAGGGGAGAGGGATTGGGTGGGGAAAGGAGGGGGAGGGACTGGGGTAGGGGTGGGGGTGGGGGAGGGAGGAGGAGTGATCGGGATAGGGTGGAGAGGAAGGGATATGGGTGGGGGTGAGGGGGAGGGATTGGGAAGAAGGAGGGAGGAATTGAGAGGGAAAGGGGAAGAGGAGAGGGAATTTGATGGGGAGTGGGAAGGGAGAGGGATTGGGAGGGAAGGGGCGGGGTTAGGGGAGAAGGAGGGATGGGAGAGTATGAGACAGAGGGATTGGAGAAAGAGGAATTGAGGATTGGGGGAAGGGGGAGAGAAATAGGAAAGAGAGGGATAGAATGGGGGGAATGGGAGAGGGAAGGAAAGGGATGGAAAGAAGGAGAGGAGGAAGTAAAGAACGGGTTAGCAGGAGAGAAAGATAGAGTGAGAGAGGGGGGAGGGTGAGGAAGGGTGTTGCATGCACGTACATTGCAATCAAGGGAGTCAAGAGCCGGAGAAAAAAAAGTAAAGTGATAAGATGACCGCAATCGAAACGTTTGATATATATTGTAATAATAGACAAAGGCAAGTGATTTTTTTTACTGAATGAAACATCCACATCAATATCGCATCAAAGTTAGTATCTACCTGAACTTGATTTCAAAATAAATATCTAAATTAATTCAGTATTGATATTATTAACTATGATAATATGACATAAAGAAAAACAATAATCAACACAGAATGAAAAAAAACATGTACGTGTATGTGAAGACAGACAGATTGATAAAAAGATAAACAGATAGACAGACAGACATATAAACTAGATAGACAGACAGATAAACTAGATAGATAGACAGACAGATAGAATAGATAGATAGACAGATAAACTAGACAGGCCAATAGACTAGATAGATAGACAGGCAGATGGACAGACACACAAACAGATATCAAAATATATCTAATCCGCGCTTTTTCCTCCTGTCTCTCACCCGCCCAGTACCTGCTGAACCCCCGCCAGGTGTACAACCTCGCGAAGGACGGGCCTCTGGCGGGGCTGCAGCTGTTCAAGGACGTGCCCAATGTCCGGGTCATCGTGTGCGGAGGCGACGGGACCATAGGCTGGATTTTGGAACAGATGGGTGGGTGTCCTGCTGCTTATGGCTTGCTGTTCTTGTTCTTCTTGTGTTTATTGTTTATCTAAGGATATTTCTGACGAAGATAAAATCGAAACCGGTAAAATACATCTCTTGTATTGTGAAGATATTCGTTCTCATTCATACCTTTCCACGTTTGTCAACATGAATACGTTTCATTATCTAAGGAAGTTATGTTTTTGGTAGCGTTGGTTCCATTAGTTTGTTGGTTCGCGCAACAACTCAAAGAGCTATGGACAGATCTTTTTTCTTTCCTTTTTTCCAGAGGTGTTTCTTGCCCCAATTATTATTAGTAGTATTGCGAGATCATCATTAGCATTGCGAGATAGGGACCACTTTTTGGCGCTTTGATTATTATTATGATCCCATTCCCTTGCGGGAGGTCTGTGCTCTCCGAGTGCTTCTAGTTTATTTAGCTTTTCCTTTTGTCCTATCTATGTTTTTTGTCAGTTTTTCTCCATAGAAAAGTCTTATTGTCTCCTTAGACTCGATTTTTGGTTTATATTTTGATTTGCTCTGTTAGTCATCACATGTTTCAAGTTCGATTGCATTCAATATTCCAGCACATTCGAATATCACCTTTATCAACGAAAGAACAACCCCGTCCCTCAAGAACCCCCTTCCACTTCCCCCTCTCCCAACACACTCCCTCCCCGCTCACCTCCCTTCCCTCAACACTCTGCCCCACTCCCTCTCTAAATACACTTCCTCCTCCTCCTCGCCACAATCCCTCCCCAACCTCCCTCCCTCAAACAACTCCCTCTTCCACCCCCTTCCCCTCCCTCAACGCATTCCCTCCCCCTCCTCCAAATCCCACACACCCTCACCCCCTTCTGTGTCTCCTTCAGATAAGGTGCAGTGGAGCGTGGCCCCGTGCGTAGGCATCATCCCCCTTGGCACGGGCAACGACTTGGCACGGTGCCTTCGATGGGGTCCCGGGTACGAGGGGGAGAGTCTTCACAAAGTCCTTAAGGTAAAGCACTTCAGTCGCGTTGAAATCGCGAAGGAAATGGGAAAAAAATTCAGATTTTTTTCACTTATCGATTTTGTTATGAGGTTGTTTATCTTTGTTGTTGTTGCTTTGTATAGTGGGGAAGGCACGAATCATAATCGGGAAACGAACATTACCTATTTCTAACACCAAAGGAAACTTCCACCCACCTTTACATCTAGACAACCAACACCAAACCTTATTCGACCAACCTTATACTACAAAACGTAACCCGTATGACCAAACCTCATACTACCACCTTAAGCTCCAAACCTCATACAACCAACTTTATGATATCGACCGCATACCACCAAACCTTTATACCTTTAATACTTTATACTTTATACTACCAGAACCCATACCTTTTCATCAAAAGCTCATACCACCAAATCTCATAGAACCAACTTTACACTATCAACCTCACAGCAGCCCTTGATTTACCCACAACCTCCCTAATAACTCATCTCCCTCCCCGATACCCCATCTCCCTCTTTGATAACTCATCTCCCTCCCTGGATGCTGCAGAAGATCGAGAAGTCGACGGTGGTGATGATGGACAGGTGGCACATCGAAGTCTCTGAGCAGACGGGGACGCACGAGGACATGGACGAAGTGGCGGACAAGATTCCTTATAATATCGTCAACAACTACTTTAGTATAGGCGTGGTGAGTGTTGCGAAGTGCGGGAAGGTTTGTTTGTTGTTTGTGTGAGTGTTGCGAAGTGTGGGAGGGTTGGTTATCTGTGTCAATGTAGGATGTTGTTGGGTTTGTGTTGGGTGGGTTGTTGTGTGTTTGAGTGTGTGTGTTGTGAGTTGCTTGTTTTTGTTGTTGGTTTGCCTTTGTGGTTTGGTTTGTTTGGTTTATATCTGTTTGTTTTCCGAAAATGTGTGAAGGTTCGTTTGGTGTGTCAGTCAGGGTAGGTTCTTGGTGTGTCTCGATGTCATGTCATGTGTGAATGCCAGGGATGATATGACGCATCATAGCGTTAGATTCCCATTGGAATTGAGAGTCAAGTTCCGAATCATCAGGAGTGAGTGTTCCATAATGTGTAAAGGTTTGTTTGGTGTTTGTTCGTGTTCCAAAATGTGTTAAGGTTTGCTTGGTTTCTATCTGTGAGTGTTCCAAAATTTGTGAATGTGTACTTGGTGTGTCGTCTTCAAGGTCTGTCTTTGGTCATGTCAGTCTAGATATGTTCCTGGTGCGTCAAGGTTTCATGCCATGTATGAATGCCAGGGAAGATATGACACATTTCGGTTTTATATCTCCATCAGAATTACTAAGCACCAGAATTGCATACTAAAGTAAAGTACAGATTGTATTTAGATAACAATTGAAAGGGATTATGAAAGACAAAACAGAACCAATCGTCGCGAAGGCAAAGATGAAAGATTTATCGCAAATTCATCATAATGTCTAAGTCTAAAGAAGATCTATCGCATATTCACCTTAATGATCTCTGTTCTATCTCAATTACTTCCATACTTAGATATGCAATTGCAATTCGATCTTTGTGGTTTAGAGATATATTCCTTTATTCGTTTTGCGAGAACCGTTCTCTGAATGACAGTCTCGAGCTAGATTCATTCACGCTGATTTTTTTTCTTTACGAATTTCTGCCCCTTTCCAAAGAGAAAGCGAAAAATCCTTCTTAATAGATTTAAATAATTCATCTTAATTTGACAATACCCGTTTAATGAAAAATATCTGTATAAAAATAAACCTATCTAACAATGAATAAAACCCATTGGAGCATATTCTGAACAAATGCTCTCGTTCACCAGGATGCGGCGATCTGCGTGAAGTTCCACCTCGAGCGGGAGAGAAATCCGGAGAAGTTCAACAGCAGGATGAAGAACAAACTTTGGTACTTCGAGTATGCAACTTCTGAGACCTTCGCCGCGTCCTGCAAGAATCTGCACGAGGATATTGACATCATGGTGAGATAGGAAGGAGGGAGGGAGGAAGAGGGAGGGAGGAGAGGAGAAGGGAGAGAGAGGGATGGAGGATGGAGGGAGGGAGGAGAGGGTAGAGAAGGGGGAGGGAGGAGGGAGGGAGGGGGTGGGAGGGGATAAGGAGAGGTGGTAGAGTGAGAGGGAGAGGGATAGAGGGAGGGAGAGAAGGAGAGAAGGTGGTAGAGAGGGAGAGAGGGTGGGAGAGGAAGAGATAGAAAGAGTGGGTGGGAGAGAGAGGGAGGAAGGGAAGGTGGGAGAGAGAGAGAGAGAAAGAAAAAAAATAAAGAGCGAGAAAAAAAAAACATTTCACTCATGCTTCTCATACTTGCCCCCCTTACATATCTCCCACATTCTCTTTATCCTTACTCTCCTTCCGAGCACAACCACCCTCCCCTTCACACCCCACCTCAACGCCCTCTTTCTCCCACACCCTACGGACGTCCTTGCAAAATCCCACAATTCTTCCTTCGAAATCTCTGTCTATTCGCCCTTCTCAATTCCCTCCTTCCTGAACTGCTCTACGACTTCTGACTTCAACTAACTTCCTTTCTTTACGCTGTTCACTATTACACCTTACTATTGTGCTATGTGATATTCGATTTATTTTACTTTGTAACCATTAAGCATTACCCACTAACCATCAACCATTAACTATTACCCATTAAGTCTCACCTATTAACTATCAACCATTAACAACTACCCATTAGCCATTACCCGTTAACCGTTAACCATTAACTATTACCCATTAAGTTTCACCCATCACCCATTCCCCATTAGCCACTATCCCTTCCCCTCCAGTGCGACGGCGTCTCCCTCGACCTCTCCAACGGCCCTTCGCTCCAAGGCATCGCCCTCCTGAACATCCCCTACACCCACGGGGGCTCCAACATGTGGGGGGACAACGCCACGAAGAAGCGAACGAAAGCCACCAAGAGCAAGAAGAAGAAGGACAGGGAGAGGGAGCTGTCCACGTCCTCCTTCACGTCGGCGGATCTGAGCAATGCGATACAGGGTGAGTTTTTTTTTTTCTTTTTTGACGTGGGTTGGAGGAGGAGGGAGGGAGGGAGGGACGAGAAGGCTTGGGGGCTAAGAGAAGGTGAAGAGGGGAATGAGAGGAGGTGAAAGAAAGGGGGAGGAAGTGGATAGGGGAGAAGGAGGAGGAGGAGTATGTGGAACATGTAAAGAAAAAAAAATGAAAAATTATTTCTATAGATTATAATTTACATAAATACCATGATCCAAAGCATGCATGTTTTTGTGTCGATTATTCAACACCACAAAACACATCACACATCGGTATACCATAGCCCCCCCCCACACACACACACAAGAATAAGAGTTCTTCACCAAGACACGCTGAAATATCGTCACTTTTTTGTCTACAAGCTCACACACCCAAAACATAGCCAACATACCCAACATATCCTACATACACTCCCTCTAAATTCCCCACGCCCCTTACATCTCTAAACCTCGCCCTCTTTTCCTTCCTGCCAATCCCTTTTCATCACATTCTCTTCCCAAAGAGACATCACCGCCCCTTGTTTCCTTTGTGTCCATCACTCTCATCACACTCTCCCTCAAAAGATATCGTCCGCCCTTCTTTTCCTTCCAATCAAGCTTTCAAGTCGCGTTCTCGGCCCTAAAGAAACACCACCTAAACCCATTTTCATCCCCACCAAACGCACTCTCTCTCCCTCCCAAATAGACCACATCACATCCTATTTTCATCCATATATATCCCTCTCGCCATGCACTCTCTTCCCCCAAACAGACATCCTCCCCACCCTATGTTCACCCTTACAAATCTCTCTCATCACAGACTCTCCCTAACCAGACATCACAACATTCTGTCTCCTTCCTAATCCCTCCTCACTACTCACCCTCCCTCCCTCACACATCTCTCAACACTCCCTCCTAATCCCTCTTCATCACTCACCCTCTATCCTTCCCTCAGACAGCTCACAGCACTCCCTCCTAATCCCTCCTCACCACTCACCCTCACTCCCTCCTAATCCCTCCTCATTACTCACCCTCCTCCCTCCCTCCCTCAGACAGCTCACAGCACTCCCTCCTAATCCCTACTCACCACTCCCTCCTCCTCAGACATCTCTCTCTCCTAATCCCTCCTAATCTCTCCTCACCACTCCCTCTCCCTCCCTCAGACATCGGCGACAAGCTCATCGAAGTCATCGGATTCGAGAACTGCCTGCACATGGGCCAGGTGAGAACGGGGCTTCGCGGCTCCGGACGGCGACTCGCCCAGTGCTCCTCCGTCGTCATCAGGACCAGGAAGAAGTTCCCCATGCAGATCGACGGGGAGCCCTGGTGTCAGCCTCCGTGTACCGTAAGTGGAGGGAGGAGGAGGGGGAGGTGAAAGGCGGATGAAGGAGGAACAGGAGAAGGGGGAGAAGAGGTGAGGGAGGATGAGAGGTTGTGGTGGAAGGAGGAGGAGGAGGAGGGGTGGTGGAAGGAGGAGGAGGAGGGGGGCTGGAAAGAGGAAGAGGAGGAGGAGGGATGTGGTAGCAGAAGGTGGGAGGAGGAGGAGGAGGATGAAGGGTGGTGGCGGAAGGTGAAAGGAGGAAGGATGGAGAAGTGGT